TCTATGCCTGTGTGTGTATCTGTTTGTGTATCTATGCCTGTGTGTGTATCTGTATGTGTATCTATGCCTGTGTGTGTATCTGTATGTGTATCTATGCCTGTGTGTGTATCTGTATGTGTATATTAGTGCTGGGTATTGATTCAAATTTCAAGAATCTATTCGATTCCGATTCTCAAGATTTAGAATCGATTATCACGATTCGATCCAATCTGTTCCGATCCGATCCGATATCGATTTGGGTCAGTGTTTTTAAAAGTTTTTTTTTTTTTAGCTGTTAACTTAATTACATGACTGTGTAGTTGTGCAACATATTAATACTAGTATTATATCGACATTCATCGACAAATTAATGAAGTATTGATAGTTAAAGATGGCTGTAAGGACCAATCCCCCTCCCAGAGTGTTGATACAATCGCTTTCACAAACATGCTGTTGGGCAGAATTACCGAACAGATCCAGGACAACCAACAGAGGACACCGAAGGTGTCTATACCTTCATCAATGGTTGGTCGTATTTCCGGAATACTTCACCTCCATTTGGCATGCCTTGCAAATCGCTTTGCTTTTGTCAAGCTCATCTGTCTGTTTGTCCGTTCTGAACCCGAAATGCTGCCAGACCGCAGCTTTTAAAGTTACAGGCGTTTTCAAAGCATCGCTAGTGTCTGACGCCATGTTGTTAATACAGTTTTCCCCGGTGAACTTTAACATCACCTACTGTCGCGTCATTGAATTCACGATGTGCGTGATTAAAGATATTAACCCTTTAACACCTAAGCCTCAAAATGCCCATCTGGACTTTTTTTTTCCTATTTCAGCTGTAAAAAGGGCAGAAAATGTTAAAGGGTAAAATCGATCTTTGGACATACGAATCGATCTTTAGGAATTATTATGAGAATCGATTAAGAATCAGAGAATCGATTTTATCAACACAGCACTAGTGTATATGTGCCTGTGCGTGAATCCATTTGTGAATTTGTGCTTGTATCTGTATGTTTATCTGTGCCTGTGTCAGGGCTTGTATCTGTGCTTGTCTGTGCATCTATGTTTTTTTGAAGATCATCCATTTTTCTACTAATAATAATTTTCTACTGCAGAAATTTAGCTGATTATCCTCCCCTGAAAGGTGTATCTGCCAGTTGTACGGATTTGAGCGTGCCGCCATTCGGGGCTGGTCCATTTTCTTAAGCGCCACATACCGGCACTGAAAGCTGACTTTTACCCAAGTTGAAGTGGAATTTGGTCAATTAGGCCCAAAATATCATGTAAAACAATGTTTCTCAACTTAGTCAAATGGGAGCCATAGTCAGTCCACATTTTTTCCTCCTCCCAGCTCCTAACACACTCAAACTAAACAATCAAAGAATCAGAGACACCTGGTACAAGTGTGCTGGGAGCTGGGTCGGCTGTGGACAGTTTGGAGGTCCCCGAGGACTGGGTTGAGAAATACTGGTGTGAAATGTCATCAGTCACTCCACTGTCAGCTGAGCAGTAAAGCCTTCTACTCACAGCTCCCACCCAAACCCGCCCAAACTGTCAATTTCACTTCCTATTTTACAGTATGCCGCTGTAGGTTTTACCCCAGACAGGGAACTGGGGAATTCACACCAAAAATAGTTTACTGGTGGGACAGCAGTGCGGGCACACATAGGCGTGCAGCGCCTCATACAGTGCGCAGTGAAACACCATTGCGTGTGATGTCATCGACGAGGATTCCTTTTCTTCTCTTGAAAGCTCACACACACTCCCTTTGCCATCGGGACTGTGGTTTATGAACCACACTTTCAAATGCCTTTTCCCTGCAGTGATGGCATCAGGGAGGTGGAGCCTGGGAAGCCCCTCCCACCAATCGGTGCTCCCCCCAGCTGGTCAGTCTCTGCCGGTGCACAAAGTGAGCTAATGAGGGCCCATCCAGTCTAACAGCAGGTATGGCTACTCTCTGGGGGTGAGTCTCCAGTGAGTCTGGCTGCTGCCCCCCTAGTCACTGCACATTACCTGTAGTGCTGATGTGCAGACATGGTCACATCATTCTCCAGGTTGCTCCCTCCCGGACGTCCTTTTCCAGCATGTGTGGACCTCAAGTGGTGTGTCAGAGATGGAAGTGTGGGGTGGTTCCCGTGCTGTTTTCATCTAAAATCTGTGTGTGTGTGTGTGTGTGTGTGTGTCTGGCTGAACGTGGTGAGTCTGTGCATGGATCATAAGCTCTAGCAGCTTGATGATCTTTAGATCATCTGAGTACATGGGGAGTGTCCTGCACAGGACTCTGTGTACATGGGAAATAAAAAACTAAAGGAGAGAGAGGGGGAGCAAGGCATTATGGTGTTCCCAGAGAGGGTGGGGGGTGTTCATATGGATTTTAGGACAGTGGTTCTGTCCTAAAATGGCAGGACGGGGCTAAGAAGGAGAGACGTGTGGGGTCCGGCGGGGGTCAAAGGGGAGTGTTTGTTTGAGCTTCATGCTGTTAAGCGTCAGCGTTTCTCAGCTCGGTCACGCTGAAAACCTCGTTAGTGATCAGCTGCGGCATTCTGGAGCCACACCATCATAAGTGACTTCCCAAACCAGTCGGGGGGGGGGGGTGCCTTGCTCAAGAAGCTTTCGCTCGATCATGGAAGTCCAACATCAATGGACACGGTGAATTTTGCAAATCTGGTTTGATTTTCCCTTTGTCACTTTTCTACAACATGTAGTCATGGGTCAAGCTGATCTGTCCTGCTATTTAAACGACGACGAGATAGTGGTTTTCCTGAAGGCAAAAGCAGACTGTTGAGTGAGAGCTCTCACTGCACTGGTATAACCGTCCAAATGAAGATGTGGGCTTTCTTAGTCCTGGTCCGAGTAGCTCTGTGTAACTTTGAGCGGTAGACAGAATGAGAGCTGGGGCGCGTCGGGGTTCGGCAGCAGGAGGTGAAGAGCGAGCGACGGCGGAGCGAGGCCCGAGAGCCGACCGACCATCCCCGTGTCAGGACCTGTCAGCCAGCGCACTATAAAAAGCAACGCAAAGTCCTGCTTTTTCACAGAGCTGCCATACAGCCCCCTGCGTGATGGCAGAGTAAGAGCGCGAGTGTCTTTGTCTGGCTCGCTGTTCCCGTCCCCAGCTGTAGCGTCCTGAGACAGCCAGCTATAAACACACTCTGTATACCACCCACAGGACTGGCATTTTAAGTAGCATGGCTCTGCTCTACTAGTAGTTGATGCCTGTTACTAGTGCAACAGCCCATGTATAATTGCAGCAGGTGTCATTCTGCAGCACGAAACCCATCAGAGCTAGCTAATCTAGCAAAGCATTACCCGGAAGTGCATGTCTCTGCTAATCGGCATGATTATATGGGTTCTTCTGATGGAAACATGGATTTTATTTCATGTGTTCCACTGTCTTGCACTTTTTCTCACACTCTCCTTTTAAATCGTGTAATGTTAATTGCTCCAGAGTCTCCGTTAAGCGCTCTGGGCCAACCGTTTTGGGAAGAGCGCTATTTATACATAACTTCATTTTGAGCCAAATTGAATGAAGCGGAGGGTGTAGAAGGAGGCGGCCGGGCAGAGCTCTCCGTCTCGTACCGAAACCATTTTGTTGTTCGTCCCCAGGCCCCGGCTGCAGAGCCCATTCTGGCATCCAACGCGAGCAGCGTGATGGAGATCGAGTCTCACTACCGGCACCTCCTGCGGGAGCTGGACGCACAGAGGAGGAGCGGCATCCTGTGTGACGTCAGCGTGGTAGTGGAGGGCCGCGTCTTCACTGCACACCGCAACGTGCTGCTGGGCAGCAGTCGTTACTTCAAGACGCTGTACGGCGGCCCAGGGGCGGAGCCAGTGACCGTCACACGGCTGGACATCGTCACGGCGCGTGGCTTCGAGGCCATCCTGGACTTCATGTACTCCGCACGTTTGGCCCTCACCGGCGCCAATGTCATCGAAGTCATGTCGGCGGCTAGCTACCTGCAGATGACAGACATTGTGCGGGCATGTCACGCTTTCATCCGTGCCGCCCTCGACATCAGCCTGCGGCCCAAGCTGGTGGACGAGCCGTCCGAGTTCGAGGCGACTCCGGGCGGAGGCTCCTCCCCCTGGCGGGGACGCCGCACCAGCCCAGCCAACTCCTCGGGTGACTCCGCCATTGCCAGCAGCCATGAAGGTGGCAGCATCTGCAGCAGAGATGACCAGGGTCCCCAGAGCCATGAGAGTAGGGAGGGGGCCTCCACACCGGCACTGTGGCCTGCTGACCCTCCCCCTAGTAGTCCTACTGATGGGCGGCTCCCTGAGTGTGCAGAGCCGCACACGGGTGAGGAACAGCAGCCTTCCCGGTCTGGCCGGCGGAAGAATCGCAAGAACAAAGACACAGTCCGGTACATCGCACCACAGCCAGAGTCTGGGGACAGTCACTCGGGGTCTCCACTGCCCTCCACCCTGTCTGTGTCTGGCTGGAGCGGCAGCAATCAAGGATGTTCAGGTACGGGCTCTGAAATCCCACAGTGCTCCATTCCACTACTCATTATGCAGTGTGGCTGTGATTAGCTAGCTGTGATGTGCCTCTACCCGCTTGTGATTCTCTTCCAACTCTCTACCCTCCTACCTTGCCCTCTCTGCCCTTTTCTCTTGGTATTGACTGATACTGTTCCTTTGGGATCTCTGTTCCAATATTCTCCATTGGGATATTAGCTCTGATGGTCTGCTTCAGAATCTCTGGTCAATGGTCCCCTTGGGAACTCTGTTCTGATGGTTTCCTTTGGAATTTTGGTTCTGATGGTCTGTTTTGAGATCTTTGCTCAATGGTCTACTTTGGAATCTTGCTCCGACAGTCTCCTTTGTTAGTCTCACGTTGACGGTTTGGGATCTCTGCTTAATGGTTTGCTTCAGGATCTTGTACTGATGGTATCCTTCGGGATCTCTGCTTGATGGTCTCCTTCTGGATCTCTGGTCTTCTTTGGAATTTTGGTTCTGATGGTCTGCTTCAGGATCTTGTTCTGGTGGTCCCCTTTGGGATCTTGGTTCTAACGGTCCCCTTTGAGATCTTGCTCCGTTGGTCTCCTTCGGGATCTCTTCTCGATGGTCTGCATCGGGATCTTGCTCCGATGGTCTCCTTCGGATGCTCTCACGCTGTCAGGCTTCTTTCCTCTTTTGCAGCTCCCCAGGGAGGAAAGCTCTCTGTGGCTTTTCTCTGTTCTGGATCCTCACTTGAGCTGCACAAGACAATGTCCCAGTTTTTTTCCACCACAGCAAAGGAGAAAACCAACCCCCCCCCCCAGCCCCCCACTACCATGTCATGTTGGGCAGCAGCCTGACCTGATAAAATATGGAGGAGGTGGTGGGGGCAAGCGCATGTGTCTCTGGAGGGAGGGGTAACAGGCCTCTGGAGATGGTCACTTCAGAATGCAAGGCACATTTTTAAAGGATAGTATTTTTCCCTTAATTTGACATGGTCACCTCTCACCCTGTCCCCCCATGCTCATGAACACCTGACAGGTGGGGGAAGTGGCACTATCCCCCGGCTGCTCGGGCCGCTGTGCCTGGCTCCCTCTCAGCAGCTGCCCTGACACTGGGTTTACACCCGGTGACCCCCCCACCCCCCAGCACAATAACTGTAAGTGCAAACAGCATAGCCGAGTGAGGCTGTGCACAAACCTTTCTGAAAGCCCCGCCTCCCCACCCAGTGATCTGCATAGCTTCCACTGATGAGGTCACTGCAGTTAACCTCAGTGCAAAGGGGTGGACACACGGTCGCACACACACGCACACACACACACACACACACACACACATTTGTATTCATATCCTTGTGGGGACATTCATTTCTCCTGGCACTACCCTAAGTCCAATTATGACAACCTTAATCCCTACCCAGCCCTAACTTTAACCATAAATTTTTTGATTGCAGTCATTGATTTTTAGAAAATGTCCCCACAAGGTCAAAATAATGGGTTTTCAATCATGTTGTGGGGACATTCAGACCCCATAATGTAATATATACATGACCACACACACCCACAAACACACAGACAGGTCGGGAGAGGGGGTGTGTCAGGAGGGCCAGGTGTTCACCCGCTCAGCCTCGCTCTTGTCCTTCTTTCTGTTCTCTCCTTCCTTTTCTCTCCTTTCCATTGTTCACCAGCTCCACGGCTGACACACTGCTCATGTACCTGACTGGGCCCAATGGCCACTGCAGCTCCTGTTTCAGACCAGGGATCCTCATGCCGGGTCACTGGCTGCTTCGGTGCCGGGTCCCGGCGAGCTGGAGCCTGTGTCTGCCCCCGCACCCCCGCACCCCCACCCCCTGCTTTCCCATTGCTAACTTTGGGAGCCTCTTTCGCATTCCTGCCCCCCCTGCTGCTGCTGCTAAC